TTTCACATGTTGAGCGTTTTACAGCGCGTAGGAACACGCTGTAAAACACCCAGGTGTGAACCAGGCCTTAGGGAACCAAGAAACCAGACAGAAATTTAAAGTGCAGGTTTAAAAAAATTAAAGGAGTTTATTGAAATCAACAATAAACATAAATGGCAAAAAACAACAGAGAAAGTCCAGGACATCGTCAGTGCCAAGCCAGGGATCAGGTGCCAAAACGGGTAGTCAGCCAAACTAGGCCTGGGAGCACGGAGAGCAGGATGAACAGAGACAATAGCTGGAGTCAGGAACCAGGAGATCTGTCAGCATGAGCCAGGGTCATACACGGAGAACAGGAACAACTGCAGAGCACTTGGTAGAACAGAACAAAAGGCAAGGGTGGAGACTAAATGGACAAGGTGAGGGTTAAATAATGAACTGGTGCATGCGTCATCATTCAGATTTTTTGCCGGGAGTTTGCCAGTAGCAACAGAATGATGACATTTGCGGGCTTGGCTATAAGAGGGCGCCAAAGAGGAACAGCGGCCATGCTGCAAAGCGACTGGACAAGGAAGGGTAAGAAACTCAGACACAGAGACAATGAAGTTGAGCTTGCGAGTGTTCTGTTGGAAAACACGATGGATGCGTGAATGTGAGCACGGGCCCTGTTTCTGTTCTGAAGATAAAGCTGTTTGTTACATCATACCCTTTCAAAACTCTGGTGTTTGTAGGGTTGCCACCCGTCCGGTTTTCAACCGGACAGTCCGGGTTTGGTGTCTTGGGTTAAAAAAAAAAAATTGCCGCGTGCGGCGCTAGAGTGTTCGGGTTTCACTTGAAGAAAAGGTGGCAACCCTAGGTGTTTGGAAAGAACATGCTGCAACAGGGTGCAGGGAGGAGGTTTTATATATAAACCCAATATTTTTCTGAATTTATTAGACTGGAGAATATATTACATAAAATCGGGCATGCCCATAGGCCTGGACGCCCTTACAGCAGATCTAATAGTGGCTAATTATAATTTTTTTCCCTAGTACTTATCCCTGTCAATGCAGGAATTTTTGCAGCGTGCCACAAAGCAATTGAGCTAGCAAATGCTTTCTTTTCTTAATTTTTCCTGCTCTATGCAGCTGTGAAACAAAACAAACCCAGCACAGCTTCCCTGAATACATCACCCTGCAACCGAGCGAGAAGCACAATAATATAGGAGCCTGCATGCCACAGTGCACAACATAATGTTTTATTTTCAAGCTGGCCGCATTATTGTTATTTCATCAGTCTCATTTTCCTCTCTGCGGAAAATCTAGTGTAAATGTAAAATGAAGCTGACTTTAATCAGAGCGAGAATGAAATCACGAGCTCCAGCTCAGTGCCGTCTCTAATCTGGAAATAAGTGATGTGTAGTGTTACATGCACAGCATTGTTTTCGCATCTTTCAGTCCAGCAATGAGCTCCCCCATTCCCGCGCCTGGTGTAGAAGGTAAAAGACAGGTAAATATGCCACCTGCTCAGATCAATTCATAACTAGGAAAATAAAGGTGCACACAGGCTTGTATGAAAAATCTCCCAGCACACCAGAATTTTTTGGTATTTTATTGCTCTGTGGATTGACCTGCCCATGTGCACCCGTCTTGAGTGACTGCCATTTTTAGTTTACTTGTTGGATTTGGTGTGGACACATATTCAAGATCTTCAGTTGCCACTGAGTGGGTCCAGGCTTTGGGTGTGTTGCTATACCTTTAAAGTGGACCTGAATTCAAAAAGGGAAGATTTGCTGTTATAGAGAACATCTAGTAATGGTACGTCTGCCTAAGCCATAACCTGTGTTTTTTTCTGCGTTTCTCCTGAAAAATAGAAGTGCACTTCCTGGTATGTGAGTGTGTCTAGGCACTCCTGTCCGATTTAGCTGCAGTAGGCAGATGCCTACAGCAAGTGTACCGCTCAACACACGCCCGATATCGCAACACATAGGTGTGGACGGAGGCTAAAAACGTCATGATTTTACCCCCTTACACCTTCCCCCAACTTTTCTGCCAAGATGTTAGGTGTGATCCTTGACTCGGACCTCACCTTTTTGCCCCATATCCAATCACTATCCAAATCCTGTCACCTTCACCCTCGTAACATCTCCAAAATACATCCCTTCCTCACCAATGAAACCAAACAAGCTACTCATCCACTCTTGACTATTGCATTGGCTCATTGGCCTACCTCTACACGGGCTATCCCCACTTCATTCTATCATGAATGCTGGAGAATACAATCCAAAATATTAACAACCATTTACAAAACCATCCACAATTCTGCCCCCGGCTATATCTCCAACCTCATCTCAAAGTATCACCCTAACCATCCTCTCCGCTCCCCCCAAGACCTCCTGCTCTCTAGCTCCATCATCAACTCCTCCCATGTTCGCCTCCAGGACTTCTCTAGAGTCTCTCCCATCCTGTGGAACGCCTCACCCCAACCTGTCCTTCTATCTCCTACTCTGTCTGCCTTTAGGTGATCCCTAAAGACTCATCTCTTCAGGGAAGCCTATCCCACCTCAACCTAACCACTGAACCATCACAAACTCAAACAATTCATCTCCACACAGCTACCACCTCTTGTAACACTTTTCCTTTTCTTTTAGATTGTAAGCTCTCATGGGCAGGGCTTTACAACCACCTTGTATGGTAATTATAATGTCCTCCTTATATTGTGCTGTGCAAACTGTTGGCCCTATATAAATCCTGTATAATAATATAATATTAATGGAAGGTAGCACTGGTCCACGTTAAACATTTTTTTCACCTTAATACAGTAATGTCACCTCTGCATTTAGTCTACCTCTGCTTTTCACGATTCATTTCAAGCAGGAACAGTTTTTCTCCTTTTCATTATGTTAAAGAGCTCAATATTCAAATGTGGCAGCTAAACGGATAGACTGCAGAATGTGTGGAGGTTGTTTGCAGGATGGAAGATTTGTGTGTTCTGGTTTTAGCATAATACAGACATCAGATAAGATTTGTCTCTAAGCAGAGGTAGGTTTATTACTGGCCTCCGGTCACTTGTTTTGAAGATTGCTGCTAGCTAGGAGCCTGAAATCACACTATGATGGGTAACCGAGGAAGAATTATACAACTCCCCATCTTCATTAACTTAATGTATTCCATTAGCTGTTTAGCAACAGCTCTGTTAGTTTAGAGCTGAGCCCCGCAGGCCGGGGAGCTAATGCAGATTTTGGGTCAAGGCAGCCCATACGCAGGCAGGGCAGCCGTCTGAAATTTTGCCGCTGGACACGGGCTTAGTGACGCGCTGGACGCAGGGCTTTGCGACGCGCTGGACACAGGACCCACCTGAGAGTGACCCTGCAGAGCCCCCCATAGATGCTGCACAGCCCATCTGAGACTGTCTATGGTGGGCTCTGAAGGGGTCTCAGGTGGGCTGGTCAGGGCTGCATCCCTCCCCATCCCCCTTTCCTTCCTAGCTCCTCTTACCTGCACACGTGGCCTCGTCTGCCGCCGGACAGGCCAGAAGTGACATCACGCCACAAGCGTGACGTCACTTCCAGCCAGTCCGACATCAGACGAGCAGCATCGCTGATGGGGCCCCAGCTTGTCACGAAGCCGCCAAATATTGCAGGACCGGACCGCACTGAGACTGTGCGGCCCGGTACCATTTAATCCGCGGACCGGTACCACTGATGTAAGGGACCCGGGCAGGCCCCCCAGGCTGCCCGGCCCCTTACATGAGTATTGGCCGTACCCCCCCTGATGGCTGCCCTGTACGCAGGGGATGCAAGGAGGATGTTCACTGCCCAGCTCCCGGGCTCATTCGAGTACTTGACGCAGTCACACTTAGTGCACACAAAAAGTGGGTGGAAGGAGGGGTGGCCAGAATAATTTTTGCCCCCCTCCGGGTAGAGACCCAGTCACCAATATGCCATTACTTAAAAGGGCATCTCCTTCTAAAGCACAACTTTACTTCAGGAGTGACTGTAATGCAGTCAAGTATCTATCACGATGACGTCACCACTGCTCCTGCCATGCAAGATGTTCAACAGCTAGAGGGGGGAGAACCGGATGGCCAGTTGTCTTTGGAACGCTGAATAAGTTTTTTTCTGTTAGATCATCCCCTGAAAAAGGAGCAATGTATTCTTCATCATATTGCCAGAGTTAGATTTTAAAGTAGATCTGAACCCTAAGGCCCATTTCACACAATCATCTTTAATAATATGCCATCCATGGCTGTAAATGATGGATGGCATTTTATGCACGTTCACAATTAGTATCGTAAGCAATTACATAATAATGTAATTACTTACGATGTTAATTGTAAATGCCATCCATCATTTACTGCCATGGATGGCATATTATTAGCAGGCACATTTAAGCATTGAAACAAAATATTTTGTGAAAAAGTGCCTGTTACCTCGTTAATCTCGGTCTGTGCGCAAGCGCAGATGCTGAAGTCAGCAAATCAGAGGGGGTTGGCGTCCTCGACAGAACACCGGCACCAGCGGGGAGGAGAACGATTAGTTGATTCAGCCCTTGATAGTGTATGCTAGGCCTTTACAACTCCCTTAAAGGTAGGAGGACTTCATTATCAGATGTCAAAATTCTCACCCAAAATGTCGGCCACCACTCTGGTGATTATCTGGGCCACACTCTGCTCAGCGCAGCCGCTTCCCTTTCAGCCTCTCCCCAGGAACTGCAGGCAGACGTCACCCTGAAAGAAATAAGATGAAAGCCGCCCTAATTCCCAACTATGATATACTATAAATGAAACTAAAGTAAAGTTGTTAAAGAAAACAATTGGGTATGGGGGGGGGGGGGGGGGGACCATCCACACCATCTG